TCTGTGATTCTGTGATTCTGTGATTCAGGACGATCCCACATATCAGTACTGGTGGTATCCAACTGGTTGTCCTCTAGTCCCAGTATAGCACAACTCCAGAGCCGTATCTTTGCCAAAGATCAGTAGCATGACCCAAACGTTCCTTCTTTTACAGCAGAGGAGGAGTTGGCCAAGGGCACTTTGCCACACAGTAGGAGGGAGCTGCAGCACTGCCCTAGTTTTACTGGGATCGAGTTATAGAATTCCATTTTCTGTTCAGCAGAGCTGCACTCCTGAGAGAACTGCACTGTTCGATTTAGTGAAAACAAGTTGGTGTTATGGCTTTAACTGGGTGGAGTTATTTTCCTCATAGTAGCTGGTGAAACTTTTTTTTGGATTCAAGCTAAGGAAAAGTCGATAGTGCACTGATGTTTACACTAACTCAAGGTCTGTTTTCAATTTTTTTGCCTGCATGTGTGCTCCTAGTTTCTTCTTTTTCTTCCCTCACCACCCCTTGTCTCTGCACAAGAGGATGGGGGGGAGCAAAAGCCTGGGGTTTTCTGGGATAGATGACAGGGTATGTTTCAAGCTGCCCAACAGAATATATCAGAATGTATTCCATACCATAAATGTCATACTCACTATAAACTGGGGAGTTTGCTGGGAACGACCCCTCTTTTTTCAAATGGTTGCTATCTCCATTTGTTCCTGAGGCTTACCCCTCCCCTGTTGTGTTTCATTGGCACAAGCCAGCAACTGCCATTTGTGAGCTGAGTATAACTTTGATTGTTTTTTTACTGTTGTTCCTATTATTATTATTATTTCAGTTTGTTTTATTTTAATTATAAAATTGTCTTATCTCAGCCCATGAGTTCCTTCATTTTAACTCTTTCTACTCTTTTCCCCACCCCGCTGGGGAGGGGGAGCAGGGAGTGAGCGAGCGAGCGTGTGGTCTTTAGCTGCTGGCCTGGTTAAACCACGAGAAGCACCAACCATAACTCTGATGGTGACAATCAGAATTCAGCCAGTGCTGCTCACCTGCATCAGCTGTGCTGCACTGCACGTGCATGGGAAAGAACTGAATGCATCGCCTGCAGCAATCAGCTATGTCTGGCTGAACAGCAGAACTGCCTGCCTAGAAAAAGGCTCTTGGCCAGCTCCATGATTCATGGTGGAAGTGGCAGCAGGGATCAACCACAAAGCAAATGGGTTGTTAATTAACTCCACCAGTGGCAGAGTCCCAGGGCCTGGCCGTTGCCTTCAACACACTCCAAGAAAAATGTGCCCTGGTCTCTAGCATGAACCTCAAGCAGCAAAGAACTAGAACGGCCTCCTGGCATCAACCATTCCTTAACCAGAGGTCAAGACCTTCCTTCTCAGCTTGTCTCTTTTCTGCACATAGGAAGAATGCCCCAGACTGAACCTGGCCAGATTAGCTACACAGAACAGAGACCAGCTGAGGATCTGCTAAACCTAGCGAGAACTGGAGAAGCAGCTTTGTTTCTGACAGCACCACAGAGGCAGTAAATGCCATGGCAGCAGCTGTTGAAGATTCAGCAGCGAGAAGCTACAGCTGTCGGGAGCTCCACCATGTCCTTCTTGAATATGAAGACTGAATAGAGCAATCCTTTAGTGCTCATGTTTTTGAGATATGAGAGTTCCCCAGCCTAGCCAAGGCAAATTACACCAGAAGTTGAGCTCAGTACCTTGTGCAGCCCCTTGAACTCGTAGCGGCGGTCCCTGAAAGCTCGGACTGTGTCCACGTAGAAAGAGTTCTCCCGCTGGCAGATGGTGGTAACTCGTTCCTCCACCTTGGTGGCGTGGATCTTCTTGTACGCCTTGCGGCAGTAATCTAGCCAAGGGAAGAAGCAGAGGGAGCTTCTTAGGTATGGCTGCCCCGCTGCAGTCAGAAGGATGGTCACAGTGTGGAAAGGGAGACATCTAAGCATCAGGCACGGGTGAATGGGGAGATAAGTCAGCTGCAAAGGGATAGGAAGAAAGATAAAAAGATACCAGCATGGAGAGAAGCAGCATCTCATTATGCAGATGCAGGGACAAGTGGCGGCGAAATAAACTCATCATGATGCACGTATGGCTTATCCACAAACCCTGCCCCAGCCAGTTGGATGGTTCTGATAAACCAGGTGATGGGATAATGTTATGTTTTCCTTCATTAATAGGCTTTAATTAGCAGCCTTCCAAAAAATGAAGCAATTCATCTTTCAGCTCAAATCTGTGGCTCTCAATAGACAAAAGCAGAAACATGACACAGGCATCAGTGCCTGGCCCCTTTCTGAGAAGCATGCAGGAGACTGCCGGGATCCTGGAGGAGGTCTGCCAAAACACGGTCTGAGGCCAGATCCAGACCACACTAACCCCACAGCCGTAAGGGAGGTAATTACTGGGGCGCACCGCTCACAGTCTAGGCTGCAAAACACCGCTCCAGGTCATGACATTGATTTTTTGTTCTTGGTTTGGTTTTTTGTTTGTTGGGTTTTTTTACCTGCCAGCCGCTTTTTCTCGTACTTGGCCTGTTCTTCCCGGGAGAGCTCATGGAAGGCGCGGGGTGCTCCCTCGGGGGACAGGGGAGGGAACTTCTCCGATTCCAGCTGCTGCTGGATACGGTGGTACTCGCTGCGGCTGGCGGGCACTGTGGAGAAGGCAGCTATCAGCACCCCAGGAGAGAGGCAGGAATTGGTCTCCGTCTCTGTGGGTGGCCTTCCCGGTCTCTGCTGTACTTACTGAACTCTCCTCTCCACTGCCAAGTCATCCGGCGCTGACAGTTGGCACCTGGCTTGTTGAAGTCGCAGGCGGCACACGTGGCCTCATCCACCATGGCTGAGGGCTGGACACAAGGAACAGACACAGAGGTGTTAAGAGGGGACAGCTCTCCAAACCACGACTCATGCTGGAACAGGCACTGGGTGGCAGAAGAGCATAGGTGTGAACATCAGACATTTGAGCATCGGTGAGTTTTCCTTTCCAGAGCCTTCTGAGAACACAAAACCCACAAAAGCATTGGCTGTTTTATTTGGGAAAAGTCCTAACTAAAGTTGTAGCTCAGCCTCTGCAGACCTGGCAGCTTAACTGAATTTCACACCCAGCCTTATCTGATCCCCCTGCCCTGAGCAGAAAGTTCAGCCCTGGCTGTTAAGGGGATCCAACCAAAGGGACCACCAATGTCACCTAAAATACAAATTAGGAGAGAAGAGTTTGATGTTACCCACCTGTAACCTGTTGGTCAGAATTATGTTGGGGTACATGGCCCCCACATCTAGATGGTAGATAAGGGGACACTCAATTCTGTTTGGAACATCCTTCAGGGAATTCAGTTTGACCTTGATTTCATCACAAACCTGTGGTGAGACAAAAGGAAGTGAAACTCGGGCAGGAAGGAGTTAATGAGCCAAATACTTGTTGAATTTGGCCCTTTACTCCTGCACAGGGACACCTGCCACTGGCTCTAGGGAAGAATTTAAAGGACCAAAGGAGCAGCACCAGGCACTCCTTGACCACGAGGTTTTGTTTTGGACCTCCAAGGTAGACTTTATCTGTAGGGGGTACGTGGAAGGTGAGAGCAGCTACTTCCTAAAGGTTACTTGATCAAGGACCTTTTCAGTGAAAATGGGTTAATGGAGACAACAGCAAAGACCAGAAACCCCCAGTCACTAACTGATGATGCCCTCCAAGAAACTCCAGACTTGGCTTTGGAAAGGGGTGACCTGCACTTTGTAGCTGACAAGAAACAGGGAACAAGAGGAACATAAGTATTTAGGATATCTGAGTGGTCTGTCTTCTCACTAAATCCCCTCCTCAGAGCTTTGCTCCTGGTTCAACCAGCGAAGGGGAAAGCAAACCATGTCCCTCAGCCAGGACAGAGACCCTGGATCCCCAGGCTGGGCAGGGGGTCCTGGCTGGGGCTGCTGGAAGCTGCAGATGCTTGTAACATCCCTTAACACCATCTACTCTGCAGATGGCCATAGATGGGCTGCTTGGTCTCTCTCTGTAGAGTGTGAAATGGACCTAAACAGGCAGTTCAATGCTGCAGCCCCTGCCTGGCAGCTCAGTACCCCCCACCAAGCCTGGCCGTGCAGTGGGTGATGTACCTCCTGGAAGTTGGTGACTTGGTCCAATGGCAAACCCTCCTCCTCCTCAATGGCATGCCGCAGAGTCTTCTCCACATGCTGCACCAGGAAGTCGAAGGCAGCAGGGTTCTGCAGGGGTGTGAGGACGGCACTGAGCCCGTGGGCTGTCCCTGGCTGCAGGCTGACAGCTCCAGCCCTGCTGCCTGTGTCCCTGCCTGACTTGGGAGCCCCAAGCGTGGCCTGGCAGCACAAGGCAGCACACTGAGGCATGGGCAGGGTCAGGACCACTGACACCAGGTCAAACAAACAAAAAAGCAATGAAGGAAAGAAACAAGGGCAGCGAAGGAGCAGACAGTTGTGTTTCTGTTCAGTAGTGTAGCCTCTCTCATGGTCGCATGCTGCCTACTGCAAGGGTCCAAAGATCCAGACTTAGCCCAGATTCTTTTACACACCCAGTGTATGCTCCCCCAGGATCATTCACTGGATGATATCTACCAAAACGACCCACATTAAGTGCAATGCATCACATGGCAGAGAGCGAAGCTGCCTCTGAAAACTCTGTGGTCCATGACCACAAAGCAGGTATGAGAAAGGACATGGGGAGGTGATGGAGACAGCAGTGTGAACCAGAAGCAGGTGAAAGATGCACAGGAAGGGTTCATAAGAAGCTTAGTTTGGGTGGGAGAAGGACAGACGGAGGACAGGACCCCAAGGGGATAGAGGCATATTTTCCAGGAATCACTGGCTCAAAACCAACCCCAAATCCCCACTTCACCACTCTTCCTTGCTGTCAACAAGGTCTGGCTTGCTTCCAGTATGTGATATATGTGATATATATGGCCCTTGCTCTCCCAGTGAGGCCCAGATGGCCACTTGGAAGCCTCCTCCCATCCCTTTCTAGCCCAGCTCCATGCAGCTGCAGCTGCTGACGGTCTCCTGAAGTATGGCCCGTACTGCCCAAGCCCAGCAGGGACACACAGGAGAGGTTAACACCAGGGGTTATTCCTCACTACCACACTCCTCCGGAGTTGGCTGCATGGTTCCTTACCATTTTGAAGCGGCAGGGGATGTCACTGCGGAAGACCCCAGATTCCAGCGCTTCGACATGGCCTCCCACGTATGTCTCCGAGTCCAGCACGTGGCCATCTTCTGTCAGTTTGTTGAATTCCTGCTCCTGCTTGTTGGGGAAGATGATGTTGGCATGATAGGCCTGAACCATCAGCAGTGCCTCGCACAGTGTCCCAGATCCTTTTCTTAACACCTGTGGGAGAGACATCAAAGCCAGTTTTAAACTCAAAGAGTAGATTTAGATTAGATATCAGGAAGCAATTCTTTACTGTGAGGGTGGTGAGGCACTGGCACAGGTTGCCCAGGGAAGCTGTGGATGCCCCCTCCCTGGCAGTGCCCAAGGCCAGGCTGGACGGGGCTTTGAGCAGCCTGGGCTGGTGGGAGGTGTCCCTGCCCATGGCAGGGGTTGGACTGGGGAAGCTTTAAGGTCCCTTCCAACCCAAACCATGCTGTGATCCTGCAGGAAGTGCTCTATCAATGCTGGTGGGACTGGACTGCCCTTGCAGCCAAACCAGCCAGGCAGGACCTCCAGACCTCTGCTGCCATCATCTCCTGACACTACTGTCAAGTGCCTCTGTAACCTAAAGTAGGTGGAGACAGAGGGACATTTCCCACATGCTTAGTGCAGAGATCTTCCAAACCATCCTCCCTACAGCTGACAACAGCCGTCAGGAGACCTAGCTTTGCATGACATCAGCCACACTTTTTGCTCCAGCCCTGTACTGCCACCCCTCAAGTCTCTTGTACTTAGGCACCTCTCTCAAAACACTCCAGAGCTGTGGAGAGAAAGGAGTGGCCTCCAAATCCACCCTCCCTCCATCCCTGACACAGATGGGAATGCCTGGGCAGTGGGAATCAGGTCTGTGGCCAGAGCAGCCCTGCTGCATGGGAGATCTGTCTCTTGGCAAAGAAATCAACATGTCAGGAGTGCACCCACCTCATCAGGCTCCATGGGAATGATGGTGCACAAGGCAAAAATGAAAGGATGCACATACTTCATATACATGTAATAGGTAGCAACTGCATCAGACACTGAATAGGTGGCCAGGGTCTGTCAAGGAAGTGTGAGAAGCAAATGAACCTCAATCACATGTGACAGAGCAGTTCAATGACAATAATCTTCCGCTGCTCCCTGCTGGACATGCTTGTATTAGCAGGCAGAAGGGAAAGGTGTATTTCTCCATATCCTGGGCTGTAAAGAATAATCTCATTTCAGAGGCCATCCTACTCTAGCTCTAATTATACAGTGCTATGTCAGCTTCCAATGAGAAGAAATGGGGAGGATGAGCTCAGGGCACAGCTTCTGCCCTGTTTGGGAGTCAGGAGCCTGCACCAGGGCTTCAGTAAACACCTGGAGCACGAAGTCTATTTCTTGCACCTCCAGCAAGTCATGGCTCTTTCTGGTATTTCTGATTTGGGTGGTGCCTGCCACCTCGTGTTGATGTAAATAAATACAGAAAATACAGTGCAACGCCAGTGCTAGAACCACTTCAAAGAAATCCTGTTCTTTCTCCCCACAAGCCCAAGTTCTTCTAAGGCACCGGCAGTCTGGGGAGACAGACTGAGTTAACTTCTCAAAACCCACTGCATTAAGCAAGAACATTTTGTAACACTTTAAGATTCAATCATAGTGAAGCTGTTCTAGGCTTGTTTTCCAGTTGCTCGGAGGAGATGCAGCACAGGGAGGGAATACCTGAGGCTCCTCTGTGGCCATCCGGCACATCTCTTCAGGGTCCAGCTCCACTGGGTCGTAACCCAGCTTTGCTTTAGCTGCTGCTTTCAGGTTGTGACTTCCCACTGGCAGGTAACTGTCTCTCTTCACCCACCTGGACAGAATCATGAAAATACCAGTTTGTGCAGAGAAACAAGCCTGCCCTTGACAAAGGTGGTCAGGCTTGCAAATGGGACCCCAATTGCAAAGGGAACCTCTCACAGAGGAGAGCTGAGAGCTGAGCATCCAAGTGCAGCAGAGCAAGAAGCTGCCCAGCTTTAGATATCCTGCATCTCTATGAATACACTGAGATCCCAGTCAGGACAAACCCTACTACCCATGCCATCACCACCGCTCAGGATTACCACCTTCCAACCCCCTCACTGGCGTTCAGATAAACATTTAACTGCTGGAGGAGACACCACCAGGACTGCAAGGACAGGCAGCCACTCTCCAAAGTCCAGACACTGCTCTCATGGAGGAAACCCACATAAACCTCCAACTCCTCTCTATCTCCAATGCATGCACGATGTGTCCTTTCCTCTTCCAGCTGTGCCAGGAGGCTGTTGGGTTAGGACATGCTCACTTTCCCTCTCCAATGGCCTGATCTTACCCCACCCTTTCTCTGCTCCCCCAGATCAGATGTCAAGCACCTGAGGACAGCCACCAGCAGGCTGCAGGGAAAGGGACAGCCCTGATGGTCCTTCATTGAGAGGACTCGGGAGCTTCTGGGGTATGCAGAGCACCAAGGGGAAGCAGCATAGTCAACAAATGGACTATCATAAGAGCCTGGGGAGGTGCCACACATGAAAGCCTCCAACAGACAGGAGGAGGACAGTATGCAAATACAACTGTAGGTATTTTATACAAATTCAAGAGATACAAGACGCAGTTATATGGTAGAGGGGGAGCATTTGGTACCTTAGACAATCCATGTGGATGCACTGGGATGCTTTGTACTCTCCTTGGCTGTCCTTCTGAAACCCAATTTCCTGATACATATCAATTCCATGAGCTGCTGCTCTTGCTTCCACGAAGGGCCTGGGGAAAGAGGCAACATGAAGAGAAGGAACAGAACTGCTGTTTCCCTTCATCTCCAACAACAGTTTCACAACTGCTTTGTTACAAACTACCTAAAGCATTTTTCTTGCTATTTATCTGGGATACCTGGCCATGGGAAAAACTTCCTGCAGGACAGAATTGCAGCATGATCCAAGAGGCGAAGCTGCTGTCTTACATCCTGCACCAGGAGGTGGAGGCACATGGTGCTTCTCCCCTTGCTTCCCGAAGGCTTGGCTGTGCCTCTCTCTCTGATACCCTCCAGGACTCTTTAGACCTCTCCCTGCTCTCCCAAGACTGGGCTCATGCATACATCAACACTGCCACAGGAACAAGGGTTTAAAGCAGCTCAGCCAAGTGGATGGGACTCTACAAAAGCTTACACTTCCGCATTCCTAGCTCGAACTGGCCAGACAGTTGGCATGGATCACACACAATCACCACTGTGTGATCTATGGAAGGACGTTGAGGTTGGTACCTGACCCTGCCCCATGGCTCAGCTGACACCTTGCCAGCCTAGTTTGCATTCCTGACTTACCAGTCAAAGAAGTCTCCATTGTATGTAACAATGATGGTGGGTTTGGTCTCCTGGACATGTTCAAACCACCTCTGGATTAAATGAGCCTAGGGTGAAACAGAAGAGCAGGAAAGATAGACATACACAGTAACTTCATCTCCTCCATGGAGAGGTAGTGGATAGCATTCAGCTTACTCCACCCTTCCTCTCTTCTTCCCACCTAGCTCAAACCTGACCTCTCTTACCCTTATTTCTCAGAAATGAAAGCACAACCAGCACTTGTGGGACCCACCCCATTCCCCAGTGAGGCAGCCTTGCAGGCAATCAGCTCTCTTTGGCCAACAAGAGCTCCAGGCAAGTAAAGAGTCTGCTGGGAAGAATGAACTTACTTCATCTGGTTCATTAAAGACACAAAACGGACCCTCATACTCCGGCTTGGGAGTAAACTCAAAGTCTTCAATATCCTCAGAGACGATCTCCCTATTTGTGATCAGGTAACCCTAGGGAGGTGACAAGGAGCCAGTTAGGAGGACTTGGCTTGCAGACAACCTGAAAATGCTGTCAAAATGGAGGGGCATTTTCCTTTAGAAAGCCAGAGCTTCTGTCAAGGAGGAACAACTGTTTGGGAGTCATCTGCTGAACTATCGCTGGCCATCAGCTAAGGAGGCCATGGGGAGACAACATGGGATGGCAGAGTTGCCCCTGTGCTCTCCAGGTTACTACTCCTCCCTCAGAGGAGCACCAGCAACCCGAGGTGGGCACCACGAAACTAAATATCTTGTGCATAATTTTGACTTTAATTTCATTTCCATGGCCACACACCAAGGGGCTGGCAGTAAGGCAAGCCTGGAGCAAGCTGGGTTGGACGCAAACGCTGGCCTGCTCCACGGCTGCTCTGCTGGAACATGGAGGAAACCGCTCTACTGTGCCTTACCTGCCCATCAATCATGTAGGAGATCATCATGATCTGGTCTGTCTCCGCATCAGGAAACTTCAAAGGGAGTTTTGTAGTTTCAATGTCAAAGGCAAGAACGACAGGATCCTGAGCAGGATCAAATCCATTAGAAAATACCCTAAAACTGACTTGAAGTTAAACAGCAATTCCCTTTAAGCCCAGTGCTAGCCCAGCAAACGAACCAAACCCTTTCCAGTAATTATTTCACTGCTTTATAAACCCAAAAATCACTACCCAAGCCTAGAAACAAAGTCTTCCCCTGCACACCACGGTGTGACACCAGCAGCACATTGGAAACCCACTCCTCAGGATGGACACACCAGCCACGCATGACTGATGCCTGTCCAAGCAATGCTCACCGGTCGCTCCACAAGGTCATCTCGGCGGGTGATTTCAGGGGGGTAGGTGCTGCCCCGATATCGCACGTTGTACCAGTGAGCCTGTTGAGAGAGGAGGCCTTACTGTGGGCCAGCACTTGGCATCACTCTTCAGCTGCTGGGGTCAGAGCTGCGTGAAGTAAACACAGCCCAGAAGAAAGGCTCAAGCTGTGGCGGTGCATCAGTCAATTAACTTCTCTGTGCATCATTAACTAAGGAGGAGGCCCAGCAGTATGGGACTGAGCTTTACACATGAAATCATAGTCACGGAAACCTTTGCAAAGGTCCCCGGGAGAAAACGTTGCCAACCTGCCTGCACTTCAGGAGTATGGCAGCAGGAAAGCCAAGGTCTCCCAGCTTCCCCACTCCTTACTCACCACGTGGATCTTCAGGTCAATGGACAGGCGGACGTGGTACGGTACGTCATACTCCCGCATATCCACGATGTTGTCCATCTGGCTGGCAACCTTCCTGGAGGCCCCTTCCTCATCTGTGCTCAGGCTGCCTCCACTCAGAGCGCTGTGAGGAGCAGAGCAGCCGCCTTACCTGAGTGCTCGGCTGCAAGGCACAGCCACGCGCAGTGGTGTCAGCTGGCACCAGGAGCCAGTGACAGGAGAGAACGAGAAACACTTCACCTGCTTGCAGAGGCATCCCTGGGATGGGCAGCACTTGCGGTTCCATTGCTCCCATCTAATTTCACCTTCTCTCATGTTTGGGAGCTCAGAGGTACAGGTAGATAAAACCCACATCGTGGCCCACACAGTTCTTACAGAACTGGATTTATAAACATGACAATGAGTCTGAGCGTAACGAGGCGACCTGGGAAGCCCTTTGAACCAGGATGGGACACCTTCCAAGTGAGCAGGGAGCAGTCATTGCGCTTGATACTTCTACCTCAAGTTTCAACTGAAATCAGACTTCGGGGCCAGGAAACCAAAGAGAGGGGCGAATTTTTCAGGTGTACGTTCTGGTTGACTTTAAAAACAAAGTTGGTTTTTTTTGATTCTTTTTTTTATGTCTGCAACTGCATTTCTAATCTTGTAAACAAGTGTCTGGCTTTTTATTCAGAGAGAAAATGTTTGTTGGGTTTTTTTCCCCCTTTAGTCACAGGTAGAAGTGAGGTTCCCCAGTGTCTCTCAGTATTCTTTCCTGGGGGACAGGGAATCTATTTGACCAGCACGCAGAAGTGCCACCACAGCACATCCCATCCCAGAGGCTCTGGGACCCCTTGATGTGCAGCACTGAGCTGGAAGAACCACCTTGGAGATGGGTGGCAGAGAGTCATAGGACACCACCTCCCCGAGGACAGCTAAGAAATAATCAAGGAAGACCAACTATTAACACAAGGGACCGACTGGCTGCCCTGCATAGAGCTCCCACCTCGACAGCATGGCCGTGTAGACATCGTTAGCCTGGTCTCGCTCCCTGTTTTTCCTCACAGCAGGAGAGATCTCCTTCCGCACCTTCACCAAGTCATCCACTGTGTTGAAGGACAGCTTGATGTAGTTTCTCTTAAGGCCCACCAAGTGGTTTGGCTGCAAAACAGCAAAATAAAGCCAGCTGAGGGTGGATGAGCACTGAGGGATGGCCACCACAAGAGAGAGTGGGGAAGGCAGACTAGACTGACACAGGCGGAAGAATTGGCCAAAAATGAGGTGCCAATGAGTGGGAGAGTCAACCACTGAGAAGAGACTCTGGTGGGCACGTCAGGGAAGAGAACAAGAGCTGCACAGCAAGGGCCTGGCCAGCCCTGCTGCCTGGACAGACAGGACCATGAGCAGGATTCACCCAGGAAAGGGAAGGAAAAGTGGGTCAAGCTTGAGCAGCATCCCCCTCCCTCAGTACCTACTCCTCTGATTACTCTTTAATTCCTGAAATTAAACATCTTGAACACACTGTGAAACAGCTGATGTGCTCAAGGACAGGAACATAGTTACTACCGATAAGCAATTAGCCATAACTTACACATTTCTGATAGGCACCACAATAAGCACTAGGATATCAAAGTCAGGCATGCTGTCTCCCTTCACTACTCAGTCCCTTCAGTCCCCTCCTATTTCACTAGAGCTGTGCAAGGTTGAAAAGAAAAACCCCACTACTCAACAGCACAGAGGGCAGAGGAACACAGACCAGGTCCAAGTCTTCTTTGGGAACAGTTTCCAGCCTTGCAATCTTCCCTTGGAACTTCTTGGAGAGGAAGGAGGTCACCTCTCGCTCGCAGCCCTGCCAAGAGACCCTGGCGCTGAGCAGCATGTCTCTGTTCTGTCCCAGAGTACAGTGCCTAGAAGCTCCCCAGTCATCTGCTGTTCCCTTCCCTGAGGACCTCAGCCCCCCCAGCATCCCCTCCTCACCTTCTGGGTGGCGATGTAGAAGTAGGGCTTGTAGGGCAGGGCCACCTGGGAAAGAGCAGACAGGTGATGGTGGAGGGTCCCCTCATGGGACTCTGCGCCCCATCTGCTGCCCCAGGGACCCACCTTGAAGCGGCTTCCGTCCTCCTGGATGAAGTAGTAGTCCACAGCGCTTACAGACCGCCGGTCCTCATCCAGCACCTCTGTCTGTTCATGGGCACAGCGGACTCAGCGGGATCCCTCTGTGAGAACCTCCCCCGGGCCTACTGGGGCATCTCCATGGGCCACCCCGTTCTGCCCCTCAGGGGCCTGCCCATGGGAGCCCCACCCCCGGGTCTTACCGGGGGCTTCCCCGTGGGACACTTCCCGCCCCCGGGCCCTATCGGTGGTCTCTCCATGGCCTCCCCCCGCGTGTCCGTC